GGGGGGGGGGGGGCTCTGACTCCCAAACCATGGTTCTTTTCACTCTAAATGTACCTTTTGGTGGGGGGAACAAGGAGCCCCAAGAGTGTTGGGGGGCAGAGGCTGTTGTGGTTCACAAATGGGTTCTTAAAGAGGGGCCCGAAGCACCCCTCAACATCATCTAGCTGTGGCATAAACCAGATTCTGGGGTGGGCCCTTAACCAAAGCCTCCTTGGCAGCCTCCCCATCCCAATGGTCAAGCTTCCTGGGCCCCTGAAAAGGTCAAATCAGTTTGGATTTTCCCCTCCTGCAGGAAACCTTCCCACCCCTTCTCCTCCTACCCCAGGCCAAGCCAGTGGCCCCTGTGTACTCCCATTGAACTCCAGCCTTTCCTTAATTATATTGTTTCCCAAGCAGGCCTATGGCCTGCCTTTACCCCCAAGGCCTGGCAAAGGCAGGTTTCTCAGTACCCAGCACAGGGCTTGGCCCTGTGGACAAAGTGATTCCTAAAAGTCAGCTGCAGTGAGACTGTGGGAGGGGGCTGGGCATAAGGTAGCACACTGTCCACTCTTTAGACCTGGTCATCATTGACCTAGGGCTGGGGAAGAAGTTCAGCCTCAGAAGTTGAAATCTGGCTTCAAATCCTGAGGCTTCCCCTGAACTGCTGCAGTGCTTAGCTTGCAACCTAGCCCAAACTTTTTCTCTACCCACCCTCTTCCCTTCAGTGGCAGGACTGCCTGGTGTGGATGTAAAGGCTGTGCCCTGCACAGGAAGTGCACAGCTGAGGGGCTTGACCTGGAGGCTCTGCACCCACCTTTTGCAAGAGGGGCACCTTTCTCTAACCTGCACAAAGGCACCTGGTAAACTAGGAGCTGCTTGCACAGGGGCTCAGTGCTTTGGGAGCATCTCAGCTTTGGAAGACTCAACTGATATGACAGTGGGCTGCTGCCGGCTCACAGGGAAATGGAGGGGAGAGGGAGTGAGACGCTAAGTCACTATAGCTGCTGCCGCAAGAAGATCCAGAGAGAAAGCTCAGGCTCACGGGGCAAAATCTGACTGTGCTTGACTCTGGAGCCTGCTCAGTGGGTGTGGTGAGGTCTGGATTCTGGTGCCAGACTGCTGAGTGTGCAGCCTGGTGTCACCACTTCTCAGCTATTGCCCTTGGTCAAGTTAGTGCACATCTATGAGTCTCAGTGGCCCCCTCTCTGAAACAGTGAGAATAACACCTTACTTCTGAGGGCAGTCACTCAAATAATCTGGAGCCTACTCAGTGTCCTGCCTTGTTCTAAAGTAGTGTGAGGATTAAATGGTCCACATAGCAAGGACCCAGTGAATTCCAGCTACTCTTCCTATTAGGCTAATTCTGTAAATGTTTGATGAACGAGTTCCGCCAGGGACCTTCCTTGGTTTGCAAGTGTCCCTGGGTGCATCTTGGGGAGGGGCCCTCCTGTTCCTCTCTAGGGGTCATGGTCATCACTTTGCTGGGTATATAGCCTGGCGGGGGGGAGGGGAAGGGAGGGCCCGGTGACCCGAGTCTGCACCTGGGTTCACCACTGCTGATTTTCTGCATTCCCTGGACTCTGCCCTCCCTCGGCTCCACCTCCCCACCGAGCTGGCCCCAGCCCCTGGCCCCGTCCCAGACTGAGCAGCACGGGGCGTTTCCTGACCTGGGGCCGGCCTCTTCCTAGATTCCCTCCTGACATCATCCTTCCTGCCTCCTAGGCCTGCAGCCCCAGTC